GGCGCAATTTGTTCTAAAAATAGAAAAATTGTCCCATATCATAGGTGCGCGCGGATCCCAAGACTTACGGTCTCCGTCCCCGATTATGGCTCCTGCCTGATACCTAACGTTTCTCGTTACAAGGTCGGAAATGTAAAGCAAACGAAGCTTTCCACCATATCTCACAGTCTTCTTGAGCATTTACATTTCAGAGCTTGTGTCCAGGATTATCATTGACATGATTCCAAGGTCAAGAGAGAACATACATAGCCTTTTTCCAAATGGCTGTCCCCACGACTGGTTGTTTTTGAGTAAATTCTGTTGGACTGTTATGTTTTCTTTATTTTTTACTTCTACCGTAATTATCAGCTGAGGTTGACAAACACGTGTGCTACTTGCAACCGCGGGAATAGCGCGGGAAAACGCGTGCCGTGCGCTTCATCGCGCGTGCCACTCGCAGTCGCGGGAAAATGCGTGCCACACGCTTCATCGTTGCTAAACTATCATTTTCAAGTTTTTTGGGCTTTGAAGGTTGCTTCATCCTTGGCAAAAAAGACTTCATATATCATGGCACAACTTCTCCTTGGAGGCAGATAACCTCTCTACCTTTTTCCTTGGCAGTTCCTGTTAAAACAACTCGAACCTAAAATTTAGCGCCACCCTTTACAAAGCGATTTTCTAAGTTACCTGGAAGTAATCAAAAAGGTCCTGCATAGTCATCTCGCTGCCATCGTCTTTCAGACCGTTGACTTCAAACCGATCCCAAAGCGTAAACTCCTTGTCGTAATACTAAAACGACGAAATGGAGATAGTTATCGCCTGACAACTCAAAACTAACAGCATTAACTCAATTGAGACACGTTTTGTCCGCTTGTACCCAGTAAAGTTACCTTGTTTTTCGGTGCGGGGATCGGCTCAGAAAATCCGAAGAACGGCAAGGCAAGATTTATAAACCCGTTCTTGAAGGTCTCCAGTTTCTTATTTCCTTGAACGATCTGAAATATCCACAAATGAAATCAGCATAAAAATTGCTGTTGAAATCTGCGCGAGCAGGGGTAGATATCAAAAGATGGATGAAGTCAAAAGCTTACCTTGTACAACTCAAGTGCCACCAGACCGCTTACCAGGGCGGTTGTGGTAGCGATGGCAGGGATAATCTTTCCAGCAATCAATTTACTCTATCAAGCGAAAAAGAAATAAATTATCACAAGTAAACTCTCTTTCTTAATTATTTGACCTGAAATGTTTTCACGCATCTGATCTTTTTTTTACCTCGAAATTCTGAATTATAATCAACAATGATTTAGATAAACATATACAGGCATTTCCCGAGGAATTCGCCAACAGGACGGCAATTACATCGTAAGTTGATGAGCGCATACACTATTGCAAACTGCAGTAAACTGGTGGAGGCTAATTACAAGTTGATTACTTGTCACTCCAGTTGATGCTAGGCCTGTTACAAGTTTAGCTGGTTGTCAAGTGCAGTGTTCTGCCCCAAAAGATATTACAAGTAAGATGGATTACCTTGTGTCGATCAGCCGGTGGAATGTCATAGTTAGCCGCTCTTAAGTTGGAGGCTGCTACTATGAAGTCCATATGGAAATTCGTGTCATCATCCTACAGACAAATGCACAGTGACACGGACAGTTAACAAGCGTTAATAATTTACTAAACGTCTCCAGAAATAGTATTTACGAACTCCCGTTATCACAAGCAGTTAATATTAGGAACCAATCAACAGGGATCGGGAAGGGGTGAGGGGTGGCAGAGGGATTGTAGTCAGTTCTGATGGTGACAAGCTGACGTGAAGAGGGTAAGATTCGTGACTCGGGGAAATTTTTCGACGAGAATTTTAAAAGCCACACTAGTTCTAAGACTGAAGAAAGTCAGAAACATGATCAGGTCGCAGATTTCTAAATGTACGCATGAACTGAAGGCTAAGTTGTAAAGTTAGGAGCAGATGTTGAAGTGACTGCTTCTCTGTTCATGGGACACTCGAATGTTGACTGCCACTCCGGCTAAATTACCAAGGTTTATGGAAATCAGTCAGACAAATCATAAGACGTCAGTCAGTATAGAAAACAAAAAGAATTAAAAGAACGAATGTATCAAACCTTTTCAAATTCAACTGGCAGCATCTTGAAGTTTGGCATGCGCTCTTTTGCTGCCAGAACAGCGGCTTTCGTCTTTTCAAGGTCTTCTTCATCTGCAAATAGGTAACATGTGAGGCGATAACAACCTCTGCAAAACTACGACAACGCTTGAAAGAAAACTTTACATCAAGTACGAATGTTGAATTTGAGAAAGACATTGTTGGTCCTCTTATTTTAAACAGAGTGACTAACCAATATTTCCTGAGCTTTCTTGGGCTGCCTCTTCGTCGGTGACAGAAATTTTCACGCCTTCAAATAAAATGGAAGGTAAACACAAAGAAGATAAACACAAAGATAAACACACACACACACCCACAAACACACACATGAACAGAAACGAAACGTTCTGTCATGTCACCGTAGTTCTTTCTTTTTTGCCTCAACAGATGTCACACAAAATCAGATGTAAACTTTGACGGCCTTTGGCATATATCTCCTTCCTAGAAGTGTCAAAATCAAATAGCCAAGATCTCTCTCAGTTTTCTTTTTAAGCTCATCGTTCGTGCAGCTTCTGTTGCCTTCAATTTGCCGAGTGATTCGAGAACAAATTTAAGGTTCATGCCTCGTTTAAGTATCTTTTCTATTGAATTAATATCTTCACAGTATCTTGCGTTGCGTGCGTTGAAAATATTGAGATATGGCACATAGGCACGAACAAAAACGACAACAACATATGGGAATAGTTTAAACTGACTGAAGGAGACCCTACAAAATGAACCCAGTACAAACTAACAACCAACCTGATCTGGGTTTAAACGTTGCCACCTTGACAGTTTTCAAACTATCAAGAATGAGCTTGTGGTCTCTTGAACCTATGAGAGAAGAAAAGCACCCACTTAAAAAATGTAAGTCACTGACAAGTGAAGGAAAAACGCACTGTTCGTTTGCAGCTTATAGTCAAAAATAAACAAAAATAATTGATATTATTATTAGAAGAATCAGACAGCCTTGGCAAATGCTGTCATTCAGCTCAAGAAGGGTTCTGATTGGTTATTACGAAGTGAAATACCTACGTAACAAAAAACCGAGAAAGCGTCAATCAAAAATTTACCTTTTATTCCAAACATGTATGCTCTCAAGTTGGCAGCAGCAACAATATAGTCCATGTGAGTATGCTAAAAGATGAAACCAGTTCATTGTAAAATAACAGTGATACACACGAAGTTTTCAGAGATTACCGTTCTAGATTTTTGTAAAAAATTGAAAATAATAAAAAAAACTATTCTCATAAAACAGCAAAGACAAGCTTATACTTCCTTGAGAGGGAAGAGAGAGTTTGTTACTTTATTTGCGGCGACGCCTGCCGCTATAACCTCCTCTAGCTCACAAGTTAAGAGCTTGGAACTGGCCAAACGAGTCACTGCGTGACACAGGTACCCTTACGTGACAATCGCACTTGTTTAGTGGGTAGATAGGTGTAGTAAAAGGAGAAGGAACATAGGAGAGGTGATGGATGCAAACTTAAAAACCTCCCAAAAGCTAACCTCACAAGGATCAAACTCCAGAGGATGAGGACAACGCTTAGGACCAGACCAAAATGGCTGCCCTGAGCTGGTCACCTGCAAGGAAATCCAAACGAAACACATCATAACGGTTTGTAAAGTGGTTACAACTTTAAAGTTCATAAAACGCCACGTCACGGAAGGAAATTTGTCTCAATCTTACCAAATATTAACCATTCTTGTTTCATTTTTGGCGTAATATTACCTCTTTGGTTACAAGATTTTGCTCTATTCAAAGGTAGTTAACGTAATGCAGCTCCTTAAAGTTCAAGTAAAGTTCAAGTGAAGACGATAAAACCAAACCTGGTCAGGAGGAAAGTTATACAGCAGTTGTTTGATTGTGTTGTGGTAGTTTTCTTGGAACTGTACTCTGGCCCAGCTCACACAGTCAGCAAACTCACGCGGCCTGTCGTCAACAAGACATTTCTTTATGCTCTCGTAAATTTCAGCCTGTGCAACAATAAATGGGAAAATATATGAGTTCAAATCCTACGCTAAACGAGAACAAGAGTTGCCATTTGCATATTGACAGCTTTCTTCAACTTTCATGTTAACCCTAAATCCTAACTCTTCTTCGTATTTGAGTGCGACCAACAGTTCATACAGTTTTAAGGTCTGTCTTGTATTTTCCTTCATGATTAATCGATCTAGTTCAGTAAGTTCGCGTGTGTTCACAGTCAAAAGTTTTCTTTAATATCAGCAAAACCTATGGAAGTATCTATTATTCGGCTAGCGACTAAGTGTCTTCTCCTCTGGCTGTATGAACTTTATATCTGACGCTTTCATGGTTACTGAAAGCCTTTTACTCGGTTCCTATTGATTTATCAGAGCCAATTTGAACTGGCTTCGTTCATTTGCTCTATCACTTGGTGGGGGGTGGGGGGTGGGGAGGTATGGTATTGATTGAGGCAAGTTTGGACCTCAGTACTTAAGTCCGTGAACACTTTGATATCTTGCTTCGTCCTGTTTAGTGCCGGATTTTATCCCTTTGTCTTCTGTAAGACAATTAACGAAGAAAACTTACCGCTTGCATCCCAGGGAGCTTGTCTGTCCTTTCACCAAACTTTGGGTCGCTACATAATACACAAAACAATAATTATCAGTTTGGAGATGTAGTTAAAGATCACTGTGCCTGCGTGCATCAGTCATTATGACGTAAAACATGTGTTAACCGTCGTCAGTTTAAAAGCACAACAAATACGTTTTGGCGAAATTAAAACAACAAAAACGTTCCTCGTAAAGTTGACAAGCACAGTGCTCCTCTACCCACAAAACGGCACAACTATTATTTTATTTTATTGAACTTCGCCTAACTAAAATATTTACATACACAAAATTTTTTATTAGGCAGGGTGACCACTACAGCCAAGGGTTAGGTTAGGGTTAGGTAATACAGTGAATGTTGTATTTTCTTATTATTTGCGGGAAGAAAACTCGTGGTAAAATGTTATACTCTTGCAGCCGTTGGGATCTACACTCTAAAGTCGAGGTTATGTAACTGCATGTACAGTGAACATGTACTTCGCCAAAATTGAACGTTGTTTAATTTGTTAAAATGCCGTCATATGCGGCCCAAAATCTGTATGTAACATGATCCACAGTTTTAACGTATCATGAAATCACAAATCAGATGCTGCTGGCCAAGTTCAACCACAACTGACCTGAGAAATTGGTTAACATTCTCCACAGGAATAGTGAAGAGACCTTCAAACGCATCTCTTGCCCACTATACATGATAAATCACATTATTGCATTAAAATACCACAAATTGTTATGAAATGCTACGGATAAAAATTCAAAAACTACGGATTCTAATTTCGTGAACAGTGTCGAACAAGTTTTGAACAATTTCGATGGAGTCCGAGTTAAACTTGAAGTAGTATATATCAGACACGAAAGATCGTGTTTGACCACATTTCCAAACACCGAGAAGTCAGTTGAAAATACGATGCGTAGAGGAGTATTTTTGACGAACTTTAAGGTGTTTGGTATTGTCGTCATAGAATGTCTTAAGTGTTTAAAATATATCTTCTCAATCGAAGCTAAAACTAAAGAGAAAACAGAAAAACAAAATCGTAAAAATGTGTGCTTATTAATATCAGATATCCAAACACCGTCACGGTTATGGTTTCCTTTGTTTAAACTTGATGAATTATTATTCGTTATTCTAGACGAATGCCTTTTATACGGCTGGTCAAGATTTCTTTTCTACCTGTAAAGTATGTTCAATGGCATTGGGGAAATTCTTCAGAGTACAAATAGGAATGGATTTTTCTGGTGGATCCTGCGAGGAGCTGTAAGATTCTGTCAGGAAAGGCAGCACAACCTGAAGAAACACACACCATCGATTAGCTCTCACTTCGTCATGATCAGTCCATGCCGCGCCATGGGACGACTTAGCTTTCACAAGCATACACTATAATACTACACACAATGTATGATACGAGCAAAAATAAAACCGAACAAAGGAAGCAAGTTAGACTTTTGCCTCAGTTGAGTAACAAGTCGCAATATGCCAGTTACAGTTTGAACATAATACCTGGACATTTCCTTTTGTTCCCAAGGTTCCTGATTCCAAGAGTGGTTTGTGATAGTATACACACCTCCTGTCCATGTACATTCCTGAACAGGGAGAAAAACGCTAAATTGAAACCTAACCAAGCAGTCGCAACATTTCCTGCTTCAGACAAATGAGAGCTAGAACACTTACTAGCATCAATGTTATCCAACGCGTTCGTCACACCATGAAGAGCTTCAAAGAAATCATCATTGTATATTTCTTACCAGTTAAAGAATAATTACTTTCCTTTAGTAAGAGTTGGCTTGAAAAAGTTACACGTCTAATAACAATGAAAAAAATAATGATAATAATAATCACCATAATCAAACAGGCACTATACCATCTAAGGAGTTGAAGTCACACGACACCCAGCTTGTAATATGACTGAGAAAATTACTTCATTGTGATTGGCTGAGAACAGGCCAATTTATCGCTAATGTTTCATTTGCACTGCAGTGCAAATTAACGCACGTTTTCGTAATTTTCTCAGTCATATAAAAAATGAGTAATCATATAAAACGGCAAAATAACAAACCTAAAATGCCAACACAACAAAAATAAAATAACAATAAACTAAATTGTTTTGGTAGTGTTGTAAAGGATACTTTCTGTTTCTGGTCCAACTCTGTTCTGGTGAGCTGTAATATTGATCTCAGGATTCATGACTTTCACTGCTCTTGCTGCAACTTCTGATTTCATTTGCTACAAAAATAAAACAAGTATTTTGACGACTTTGAGGTGGTTTGATAATTGCATGCCAAGCAAAAATGAAACTCACAAAACCTATAAGTCAGCAAAACACAGAATCTGTGTAATACTTTTGAATGTAAAGGAACATTCCACATGATAGATAACCAGTCGCCGTCCTCCAATACATTGGATGAAACAAAACACCACGCACAGTTAGAAATGAAAAGTTAAGACAGAGTAGATTGTATGACATGACTATAACCTGCACATCTCCTGGTCTGAACAGGAACTGTCTGTTCAGGTTTGATTTCTCGATGGTGTCCATATCTGTGACAAACACTTGACCTGCAACACTGCAACCTATTCCCATCATGGCAAAGTTTTTAAGATGTTCACATCCAATGGCACCAGCACCAACCTTACCAGAGTAAAAGAGGAAAGCAAAGGTCGTTAATAAAGGTTTTAAACACAGACTCATGCAGTAACAATGTAAAAAGTAACAGTGCACCAAGCTGTCCATTTGAAAGAAGTTAATTATGGGGTGAGCAGCCTTTCTCTTAGAACTTCAGGTGATGCATAGCAATCTCATGACCTCCCCATTATAACCACCAGTTGGCAAAATTGAACCCAAACATGGTGTTCCCTTTGAGTAAACTTTGTGCAAAATGGAAGATCCAGAATGATGCTTTTAGTCCACTTACAATAAAGTACTTCTGTTCTGACAGTTTCTTTTGGAATTCACTTCCAAAGACTGCAACTTGTGCATCATATCTTGATCCAGTCTGAAAAACACAACAAAATAGTGTGACAAAGTAATCAAAGTATATTCCATTGAAAATCACAGTATATTTTGACATTTTAACAAGTGGCAATTAACATACAGGTTGGCATGAGGCTTCAGATATGTCTCCTTCTTCAGGTAAGCATTCCAGACTGTCAAAGTAAAGAAGCTGAAAGATGGGGTTGAACTTTCCACTGCATGCCTAAACGCATTAAAAGCAAACAAGTTGAAGTAGTTCAAAAAATCCTCACAAAACTTCATAAGTGTTCAGCTCGCAACAATGCAATGTAGGTAACAAATCATAATGCATTTTAATGGAACAATGAGCTGTAACACTATACATTTTATACAATTTCTTTGGGGTCAAAGGAAATGTTACAATGTGCAGTTTTAGAAAATGTCCATACTCCTCCCACAGAAGGGATTGGAATTTCCTGGGGGTGGAGGGTTCTGTAAGACCAAAAAATGTAAAGAAATGTATGAAGCTTAATTGGAATTTCCAGAGGGGTCACTGAGGGGTTGGGGGGTACCCTTCCTTGGGGGAGGTATGGATATTTTCTGAAACTAGACTAAATGGGGCAAAGAGGGGCATGGCCCCATCACCTGCAGCGCTTGCAAGAAATATCCTCTTTTCTGAAGCAGGAACACAGGAGCAGNGGGAGGGGGTCTTAAAAAAACCACTTTCATGGGGAAGGTATGGCTATTTTCTGGAACCACACAATAACAGGCAGTGCCATCAACACCTTAGGTCCTCACAGACCTTTCAATACTCTGAACCAAGATGGCGGGTGCTGTAACACAGTGCCATCATAACCTATACAATGGAACATACCTTCATGACTACATACATACATACATAATCCTTTTCATGCTTAGGTAGTACATAAGGCCATACCTTCATGACTTCCTGGGCAGTAATTCCTCCAATAACTCCCTGCATGGGACAAATGTCACCTCTAGCATTATATGCTAGCTGCATCAACAGGCTCTCATCAACTTCGTCTACCTAAACAAGAATGCAGTCACTTTTATTTACAGGAATACTAATTACAATTATCTAATATATACTTTCACATCAAGTGTGAAGGTAGAAGGCAACTAGGGTAAATCCTCCATCAATGGACACCTCCCATTAGCCAAAGATGACACCTTACATAAGGAGATCCTTTGTCACTGTCACAGACAGATTTAATGTAAACTAAGACCTACTGTTTACTGAGGGTAACACTTGACAGTAACCTGTTACTGTTAAACTTGTAGTTATATAAAAACAAACACTAAGATTTTAAGACAGTGAATAACTATTATGCTGAAGTATAATATGGTTGAAGATACCGTATCAGTGTTCTAATTATTTCACCCTTATATATTGTACCAGCAAAAATACTGGAAACATTGTACCTGATATTTAACAACCAGCTTAACAAAAACCACATGACCTGCTCACACAGCATTTAATGTATTATAGTTGGAAATATTCAACTTTGCTCACTTGCAAGCATATCTTTTCCGAATTAATCTTCTTGGCTAGTGCTATAAACTTCTTGGCATCTTCCTTTGGAAATGAAAAGACACAGCCTGGTAAATTGTTGCTTTTCAGTGAAAGGAAACTTGGAAATTATCATGGCCTTTCAAAATAGAAAAGCACTTGAGAGAGTTTGAAAGCAACTGCAGAAGAGTATGTTGTAGTGAGGGTGTAGTTAAAGGCAGGGATCTCTTTATTAAAGTGGGATTGTGAGGTAAGCTGTGAAAGGTTTGTAAATGTATTAATTGCAAGGAGCAGATTGTGGCCTAATGGTTAGTGTACTGGATTCTGTATCATGTGGCCTCAAAAGCAGACTTTACCCTTCACTAGTAATGATTTCTGTTAAACTCTTAAAAAGTTAATAAAAACATAGTGACTGTCATGTTTGGAAGGAAGTTAATTGACCTGACACCTGAAACTAACAACAAGGTCTCCAAACTTTGCTGAAACATTAATCAAACATTACAATGTAGCTTCCGTACAAGTGTTGGATTTTTGCACCGAACTTTTCACCATTGCAACATACCTCATTTCTTGGTCTTGGCAGAGCTCCATGTTCTTTCTCATATTTATGCAGTGCCTAATTGAATAAACAGACATTTGGTTAAAAAGTGTTAGAATTACTGTCCTTGTTAGGTGGACACCAAAGCATTGGGTTTAGGGTAACATGTGACAGTAATTACACATAACTTACTTTATTAAAAGCTGCATCATTGGATAATGCAATTCAAGGGTTTTCATTGACTTAGCCATCATGAGTTATGAGCCATTGTACCGTTTTTATTTTTATTTCAGTCTAGTTTTCTATAATTTTGGGACGTTTTAAAAAACATTGTTCTGCTTGTGCTTGAGGGAGCTATGCGCCTTGTTGGCTATCTACTATTTCATACATGCAAGAGTGCTCTTATGGAATAATGGTTAAATATATCCCAGGTGAGGCTGTCCAAGTCGTTACGTGGACATCAGAGCATTAGGATTAGCGTAAGCATGTGACAGTAGTTACATACAACTTACTATATATCCCAGGTGAAGCTGTCCAGGTCGTTCCATTTTTGCAAAGTCTGTCAGTACAAACTCTGGTGCCATGAGAGACTCACTAAATGATTTCTAACGGAGACAAGAAAATGCCCCCAAAAATTAATTCATAGCACTTTTTAAGTGTAAAGTTTCACACCATCCAATAAAAAGAAAAAAAAAATTACATAGCTTTTCTTGTATTTTATTTTCATAGTCTTGAATAAAACCTGTTATTATCTTGTCATCTTGTAAGTTATAATAATGATAGTGTTTTTTAAGGTTGATCAATGGCCAGTGTGGATGGTTCTGGCCTGAGACAAAGATGTTCCCATTGTTGGACCATAAAAGGCAATTCCTTGAGTTAAACCTGGGACAGGAATGCAATGAAAAGGAAAACAAACAAAATTAATTACCAGTGTATTAATATTCATGTACTTACAAATTTGACTATTTTGGGCATTTTAACTTGAGTAGCAATACCACCACGAAGATAATCTGTAAACCCACTCGTATCACCAATACTGAAGGTATAAGGACCTGCCATGGAAGAATACATGTACATCAATTCACTAGACGTGTCATATTGCAACAAAAATGTTCATAACCCAATACAAGAATAATTATTATAGTTGTCATAAAATTCTGCAATGTTAAGTAATGCATGCAAAAATTATGTTTAGTATTAGATAGTCATAATGTAATTTACCTAAAACTTTTATTTTTCGTGGTTCACATTGATTTAATTCTGTCATTCCCTACAAGTAAAGAAAAACAAGCATAGGTTTGTGTGAAATATCACATTATGGTTTACTCAATATACTCCTAATCAGGATCTATTAATGAATCACCAACAATTTTTTGCAAGAGTCACTGAGGATCTTCACTTTTAGAATCCAAAAAGATTTCCAAGGATTATTCACTCTGCAACAGGATCTTGCAGTGTATGTGAGGTCCTGTAATGAACCTCATAGATTCCAAGGACCTTGTAAAGAAATCAGGAAGCAAGAAGGAAGAGAGGGAAGAAGGAACAAGAGTGAGGAAGGACCAATGGAGAGACAGAAAGACAAAAGGAAGGATGGATGAAAGGAAAGAGAGAGGGAGGAAGGGAGGATGGAAGAAAGAAGAGGGAGGCAGTTGTTTTATTAGTACCTGTACTTCTGAGAATGTGACAAAGTCCCCAGATTCATAGCCATGCCTTTGTTCATCCAGACAAGTCACAACACCATCTGCATCCTGAAAATATTATTACATGACTGTATATTCATCACTTCCTTACAAGCCAAATGTAACACAGAATACTAAACCTGCACTCAACCCTAAAAAGTGACAAAGTTACTAACAGTTTGACATGTTATGTACCTTAGTGACAGAGGAAATCATGTTGCTAATAGGCTGTTCTCCATTTGTATCCACAACTGTGAAACTCTCACCAAAATCACAAAATATTTGACTGAAAGCCAAAAAATTAAAATAAAACTTTGTAGTATTTAGTTACAAATCTACACTATTCTATGCACTCTTGTGCAATACTCACTGGCCTGCTCACTGCATTACACAAGGTGTCCCTGATACATGAATGGCTCCCTTGTGACTTGCCATTTCAATAATATGTCATGAGCAATACTTCCTGGATTGCACAATAACTTTAAATTTTCAAATTGGGACTTAACATTGATAACAGAGCCACATGTAGAAAAGATCATGTACCTATATGTAACTTAGCATGAAGCTCTGAATGTAGCTTTCAAAACAGACTGTTATATTATCTTATTTTCAGCACAGTACAAATATATTAAGGAGTATGACATAACTTACCACATCAAAATATCTAGCTTCCATAAGTAATTAATGCAGTAAATTAAACAAAAAGTGATTATAACATCATTGTAATTATAAAAGTTGTCCTGAATCAATTAAATTGTCATGCACTGGCATTGAGTAAAAACCTTTCTCTGTCATTATGCTCTGACAAAAAATGCGTTTAATTGTGGGTCAAAATCAAACTAACCCAAACAATCCTCTTGTGTCGGCAATAATAAACTTAATTCCTCTTGCATGGCAAAAGTCACCTGCCCAAGTTTGTTCCTCTAGACTAGACTGGGTAAGTACTACAACCTGAAAATGAAAATCCGGACACTTATCATATACGTGGACTACAACATCAATTTCAACCTTGGGAAATTCATCAATGTGAAGTCAAGAGGGTGCACGTGGAAACATCACAGCTTGTGCAGTGTAAGTCAACCTCGTGCCATAGGTGGCATGTGTTCATTTCCCAGTATGGTACACGATGTATGTTTTGTGTCACCTTCATTAGAACAACAGTAATACAATGACATGTAACTGCAAGGCAGGTTATTGGTACCCAGACTTTGTTAAACAACAACTCAAAGAAAAGGACTTACAATTTCAGAGGTTAGAACAGTTCTGGTTAGCAGGGACCTGAAGTTTGGAATCAACCAACCAATAGGGAATAATTATTACTGTTTGCCTCAAACCAACCTGAAATTGTCCTAAAAATTCTTCTGTAAGCTGCCCGGCATGAACAGACATATTGACATAACTGTTGAGTTCTGATATTCTGCTCAAGGAAACCTCTGCTCTATTCTTTCCAATGTCCTCACCTTGAAGAAAGAACTGCAATAACCAGATTAATAGCACTTGTCAATCTTTGAAACTTATAAACACTTGAATTTAAACGGGAAAATTATCTGATTTGAATGTCTTAAACCTTAAAGTTGGCTCTGAACTCTACGTACAGAATTTCTTCACACTTTGCAAAAAGTTGGATCCTTTAAGCTTATCAAAATTTGATAACATAAAAAAAAAAATTTCACCGTGCCAGCTGTTTTTGAATTATAAACCCTTAAAGCTGTAATTAAGGGTGTTTTTAGCAGGTCATACTGTTGCTATGGTAACCTATTGTCTCACAAAAATGATAGCAACGTGTTCACCAATGCTTGGGCAGTTTTTTGATACCATGATTGTAGCATCAAGTGATTAAGAGTAGTTAAAATGACCTATAAAAATCTAAGTGCTGGAAACTGTTTGGAGCCACCTTACTGTTTGCAGAGCAGAATACTACAAAATAAGGGCTGGACATTTAACCTGATTTTCCCAAGAGGGACCTGGCACTAGTTTATTGGACCACGTTCTTTAGTTACCTCCTGGTCATTCTTTATTAAGAATGATTGCTGTGATTAAAGTAATGTGTATTTTTGTGGAGAGGGGGATTCCTATAGTTTCAAAGAGTCTTTAATCCTTCAGAACAGGGATATTGCATGTATTACCTGAGGACATTTTGAGAAACACTGACATTAAGATTTTATGAGTTCATTGCTTTTACATCCTAAGTATGTGTGCTTACAGCCTGAAAACCCAACTGGTATTCTGGTAAAAATTAAGAATCACTGAACAATTGTTATAAAAAGAAACCACTAGTTATAAAATGGTGTGTCAGCACAGTCCTTTAAACCCTTGAAACCAGCACATTCATTTGTATAAATCAATTAATTGTTGCAGATAAGTTTAATATTTACCTGAGAGGACAAGTCTGACATTTCCACATTTCCTGAATCATGAAGGGTTACTGACTTTACGCCACCCAGTACAACATTTTTAGCTGCAGATGAATGATACTTTCTTTGTGAGTTTTAAGATTACATTTAAACCTTTAATCTCAGGTTCTACATAAAGCAGCAATTTGCAAGATCATCATCATTAGTCCTGGCTCTCCTCTGGGAGAATACGGCCATTTGCAGGATAATTACCAGCAATTTACATGTGTACAATACAACCTGTCGTAACAATTCTGTTTACAAACTTTTGAAGATAATATATTTCTACATGTGGCTACATTGTATAAACATGAAACTTGTC